GCAGATTGCGTGGGCGTCGGCCGAGAGGAATCGCGATCCTTGGTGGGGTTCTTTCGGCTGCCACTTCCTGCTCTGGTTCCTCCAGTTCTTCACGGGTGAGTTCACCTTCATCTACGTCCCACCCTCCTGCTCTGGTGCCCCAGCCGCTCACGGTGCCGGATTCACCTGTTGCTGACCCCCATGTTGCTCCAATGCGGCCTGTTCCCCATCCTCCGCTTCGTGCAGATTCTTCATCCCAACCCGTAGCAAGACGCTCCTGGTACAGGCCTTCCTCCTCCTCCGCCTCTGCTTTCTCTTCCTCCTCCTTGACGCTAAGTTCCCCAGGTTTGTCGGGGTCTTTCCATTCCTTGTCGATGTGGCGGTAGACATCGCGAGGATAAGGGCGGGGTCGGTTTTCTTTGTCGAAGGTTCCGATAGCTGCCTCCTCCAGAATCTAGCAGAGTGTTTCTGTTGCGGGTGTAGGCCGCTCTTGTTCCGCCATTCCAAGCTCTTCAATTTCAGTCCCGAAGATGCGGTGAGAGATGGCAGGCAATTCCATTTCTGTCATTCCTTCTGGCTCTGTCTCGGCGATTTCTGCTTCTTGGATTGTTGCAAAGTCTCTCTCAACTTCTTCTGTGCAGCTCGCCGTGGGTGTGAATCAGGTGGTGCAGAGTCCGTCGGGTCCGAGTTGGTGAGGACTGCGGCAGATCCAGGGCCGTCCATCCGGATGCTGCCAGGATTCTTTGTTCGTGCGCGCGAATTCCAGCGGAACGAGGTCCACGAGTTCGTCCGACGATGCTCTGCAGTCAGGTATGTCAAAGTCGAGCACGTAGACTCCATCGTCTGATCGCGCTCTTCCGAGATATTTGTGTGTTTCGGCGGGTGTGTCCGGAGGAGCGAAGGTGAGGATGAGGTCGCGCGTGTATGTATCAGTGGAGAGCATGACTCCGTAGTCAGAGAGTTGTGCCGCGGATATCAGATTAAAGCGTAAATTCAACACATAGAGCACGTCATTGAAGGTGATGTGCATGTTGCTGTCTTGTGCCTGCAGCACAAGGATGCCTTGTGCGCTTGTGCGCAGTTGTCCGTTGTTGGCGACTGTAACGAAGGTGGGAGGAGCGCGACTGATGTTCGAGATGTAGCGTATGGATCCCACTATGTGCTGACCGCAACAGCTGTCCAGGTACCAGGTGTTGTGGGCCGCGTTGTTGCGCAAAAGCAATGCGAGCCATGGTGTGACGATAGTTGCATGGCATCTTTTGAGGAAATTTTCATCCTCTCTCCATCCCACGGGAACGAAGCGCTGGTGCTCGTGGGGTGGGCTTTCTCTCACCTATATTGGCAGGTGCCACTCTTACTCGTCCTCATCTTCGTAGTAGTAGTGGCGTTCTGTAAGGGGATTGTTATACCCCAGTTTGGGTTGAATTAGCTCGCCGGCAGGTTCTTCCTCTTCGTCCGGTGAGGTAGATCGTGGGCGACGTCTTGTCGCTATGTTCGCGATTACGTTTCTGGTAGCTCCTGTTTGGGGTGCTTGTGTCTGTTGCTGCTGCTGTTGTTGTGCAGGAGGGCAAGAAATTTGATGTTGAGGCTGGAAATGACGAGCGTCTTGTCGGCCGACCCAATTGTTATGGTGATTGGTTTGGGTGGCGGTAGTTGGACTGGGACTTGCATCGGTCCGTTGAATGTCCGAAGACTTTGAAAATTTTGCAGTACTGTCGCCGGGGTTGTCGTCGCTCTTCACGATTGTCAGCGGAGAAGGCGATGCACTCTCGTCGTGGCGCGGAACTTGTCCTGCTCGAATCCATCTCGTGTTGTTTGGTGAGGAGAGCGGCGCATAAGAAGCTTCTAAAATAACCCCTCGTTGTCGGAGTAGCGTCTTGCAGGGCTTCCACCCAGGCCAGAGTCCTTGAAGGACGATGTGGACGAAGATATCTTCTGAGATTGCGCTTCCATGCTTCGTGATTTGATCACGGATGTTCTAACAGCGGTTGATGTATGAATTCGCTTTCTCCCCGCGCCCCATCTTTGTCTCCATGAGTTGCTGTAGGAGTCTGCTGAAGGTGATTGAGTCCTTCGGCTGATATACCTCAACGAGGTGCTTCCAGGCTTTCAATGCTGGAGCGGCGCTCTCTTTGTAAGAGCGGATGCCAAGTTGCTCCGCAGGGGTCATGTTGCATAGCAGCACGCTGTACGCCATAAGGAACTCGCTATAACTCTAAGGCTGGGCGTCTTCGGTATCTTCCACCGGTGTAGGAGAGGAGCCATCGAAGTAGTGGTAGATCTGCGCTGTTTGTAGGAGGAGCTCTAGCTCAAAACTCCATGTATATACATATTTGCCGTCAAATGCGGCGGTAGTCTTGATTTTTAAGACACTGAGAAGGGAGGCTTGCGCAAAAGTAATGGCTTCATCACTTGGACGAGGGGCAGTTTTTGTTGATTTGTCAGTATCGAGGGAGAAGGCGTGCGGGGCGGTGCCGTGGCAATTTGTGGCCGGCTAAGCAGGTTGTGCTGGTTCAGAAGAGGTTCCCGATTTGCCATTCCGCAATGCTTGGAGATCTCTCTCCATGGTTGATAGTCGCGAAAACAACTGCTCAAGTGCAGCGGTGCTGATCGTAGTCGTCGCTTCATTTGTCGCAGCCGGGTTGGTTTGTCCTTCGGCCGTCAGATTCGTTTGGCCTCCGGATCCTCTGGCTATCTTGGTCTTTGAGCGTGTGCCGCTCGCTAAATCTTGGTTCGGCGAATTTTACGGAAGTGACGTTGCGAAAAATCCTTGAGTAACTTGCATACCATATTACAATTCTAAACATGACTTAGCAAAAGATCGGCTCAGGGTTGATCGTAGGTAGTGTTGCAGCAGTAGTGACCTCAGGTCGGAGTGAATGTAAAATGACTGGGATAATAATAACATGCATACATCCAGTTTATATAGGAAATACAAAAGAATATGAAAAGACATAGACTAGCCATGTACTTTAAGGAGTAAATTCTCTTATTCCAGCGAAGTTCAAACCGTGCAGCGCGGGAACCCGTTTTCAAAACTGTTCCCGCTCTTTTCATTTCAAATGTTTCTGCCTGCATCGGTCTTTGTGTGACGGTTGCTAGTGTCGCTTCGACTCTTCTGACTTCTCGACTTCGTACTCGGTAGAGTCGGCTCCTGCAGCGTACAGGAATGCCTTCTCATTGAATTTCATATCGTAACATGTTCCTCGCTGCTGTATTTGCCTTGGTCCGCATTTGTATGACGCTACTTGGTAATCACTCTTGGATATTGAATAAGTTGCACTCTTTCTTTTACAATTGGCTGAGAGAAGTTGGCATGTACATTCTCTTTCTCAAATACTGTATCTGCTCATGCTTCGCAACCTTTGAGTTTGGGGTGCCCCTAGATCTAGGTTTTGTCATTTCGGGCACCAATAATTTCGAGGGTGTGTGTTACTTTGCAGCTTCGTCTCGGGTTTCCGCAGAACAGCTACAAGATTTTGGAGCCGTTAAACCGTGTGATATAGATCCCCTATAGATCTCATAATCTTTTGCGGTGAAGATCTTCTCGAAATCGACGGCCTCCCTGAAGGTTTGGAATATCTTGTTCATCATCACTTTCCGCGCGTGGAACTGATAATGATGAATAGATCCTTCCATAAATCTTCATTGGTGGATTTGCTTTTCACGCTGGATCGCCTCATTCTATTGCTTGTCGTTGTGGGCTGTCGGGGGAAACTTTGAACATAACTGGAATCACCCCCAAAAGCAAAGCTTTTCTGTACTCCAAAATAGCCCAGTCTGCATGTTTGAATAATCTGTTTGTCGAATTATGGCTTTCTTCACAACCGAAAGTTAACATACATATATACCGTCTTGTAATAAACCTAACCAAGTATGGTGTACCATTTCTGAGCCTACACATATTTGGTTTGTACTTTCTATATATCCTTGGCCTATGTGAGGTTATTTTGTTTCCGAACCCAACGCTTTAGAATCGATCCAATCCCCAACAACAGGTGCAAAAAAACGAATCTACAGAAGTGAGCGCACCTCACCGCCAGCCATTGTTCCTGGTGGTGTAACCAAGATTGTACAGTTTGAATGTGCTTTGCGGTTCATGCATCAACCCCGCTCGCGCAGCAGCATTGTGAGGCGGAAGGACCAGAATCTAGGGCTAGCTCCATTGCCATCCATCCTGGAGAAATGACAGACTGGAGACCTGGTGGGTTTGGGCCGCATGCGGGATTGTTGGGCAAAGTGAGGCTGTGCTGAGCTCTCAAGTTCGGCGTTCTCAGCTCAACTTCCCTTTCCGAGAAGTCATGGTCTTGGAAACTTTCTCTTGTGAATGTTCAAGGGGAAACCGATTCTATTTGAGAAATAATACTCGTTCTATATATTTAATAATCGAATCATCCTTGTGCATATCCATCTGAATGTCTATAGCATGGATTTGTAGATTACTGGAGGTGTTGTGGTGTATTGCAGTGAGGTTGGTTCTTTTTTGGGTTGCGTAGCAATCTTGGCGTTGCTGAAAATGGAAAAGCGGATGAGTCAACCACTAGCTGTCGGCGACTCAGCGATCCCTCCAATTCCGAGAGGCAAAATAGCTCCACTCCATCTGCTCATCAGAGCACTCAGACTCTGAAGTTCAGTGAAACCCCTTTCATACGGAATTTTAGTAGTCCCTTTTCACAGAGCAGTTAATACCAGCTCACGTGATGCCTTACCTCGCACAGAGTTCGTCACAGGCAGCTCAAATGAAAAAAACAAATATAAATTTCGCGAAAACAGCTTTCTTTCCTTCCGAAATGCGCGATCCGTATGAAACTGCAAGTCAAGTTCCTCGTCCTCAGCCTCAACTAGAGCTTGCACTCAGTCTAGCTCCCAATCCAACCTTGGGCGCTACCGCTCTCTCAGAAATTCCGCCGCCGCATGGCCGTCATGAAGGCGATGATCAAATGCGAGTGGGAGGCGAAATCGCCGAGTTTTCATCGCGAAATTCGCCGGCTATTCCGAATCGTTGTCCTGAAGAACGCCGCATGTATGTTGACCCTGCAACCGATATCCGTCATGAAACGCGGTATCGGCGTGAAGCAGACGTGGAAACCAGTCACGGAGCTCTCAACTTCCAACTTGAAGCAGATCTGCTGATCTCTGGATCCACTGGCAGTGTTGCTCCGTTTCATGCTGCTCCACCGGACACGTCTGCGCTTCCAATGACACACCTTCTTGAAAGAAATTGCAACGACTCCAGAGATGATTGGTTTCGTCAACCCAATCCGCAAGATCTCAGCAACCCCATCGCACGAAATGAGGCTTCCAGCAATAAGCCATGTACCACAGGTCCCTGGAGCCGCCTCCCTGGCGTCTCGGCGACGGCAGGAGTCCGCCTGTCCCCGGAGCATCCGCCTTTTCAGCATGAATTGTCGCTTTACCGTCTTGGAGGCTCCCAGCCTGCTGCCAGCACTGGAAGAGAAACGCAGAAGACTAATCTAGCTTTTCAGACGGCACTGGCAGCAGCATCATGTGATCCCGGATCAGCGGTCGTGGCTCGCCGAGACCTGCCGCCTGTGGTGCATCGGGAGGCGGCAGGCGAGGAGGTACGCAGCCGAGAGTCCATGATCGCTGTCGTCATGGCTGCTGCTGCTGCCGCCGCGGCTGCATCGAGTGCCAGCGGCTCCAACGCCGCCGCAGCTGTCGCTGCTGGTGCAGCTGCAGGCTTCGCAGCAGCGAACGCAGTGGATGCAAGAATCTCCCAAGGAAGACATCTGCTGGGCTCACAGCAGTACGGCGCAGTGCCGAGGAACGCCACAGTCATCCCCGCGTCGCTCTCCCTTGTTCCATCCACCCAGCTCAGCCCTGCATCCGTCCCTGTTCCGGCTGCAGCGTCCCCTGTACCTGTACCTGTACCTGCAGCTCCTGCATCAGCCTCTGCGCAGTCTGCAGCACTCTCTGGACAGGCGTTGATGGGAGTGCAGCGCGCCATGCTGCTGGCTGCTGCTGCTGCTGCCGCTGCTAGCCACCACGGCGACGGGACACATCGAGGCATGGCTGCAGATTCAGCAGCACCCGTGGCAGCACCTGTTCAACCTACAGCCTCCCGGCCTTCCTCCTCGCTCGCAATCTCCTCAGCCACCACTGCTGCTCCAAACGCCGGAGCTACCAGGACACTTACTGCTGGGAGCGGCGGCAGCAGCAGGGCGGCTGTGTGCGACAACGAAGGCGGCATGGCCCCTCGTGTCAGCAAGCTCCTAGCCAAGTGGTTGCGGTCGGACGACGAGGGCCCTCACGTGTGCCCTGTGTGTAAGCAGAGCTTCCCCACGGCCGGAGGCCTGAAACAGCATCAGCACGACCGCTGGCGCTGCTCCCTGGGCTCTCAACCCGTGCAGGCCTCTGCATCCGCTGCCGCTGCTGCTGCTGTGCCTGGGCCAAGCCGTGTGGCGCCAGGAGCAGCTGGAGCTTCTGCTGCTGCTGGTCGCAGTGGGCGCTCGGGTGTGAGTACAACTGCTGTGGATGGGGGTAGAAACACTGTAACGAGGGAAAGTGACAAGAGGGGTAGTGGAAAGGGTGGTGATGGAAAGGGCACCACTGCGACTGTGAGAGACAGCACAGGGATGTTGTGGCCTCGACTGTCCGTACTTGATTCTGCAGCGAGTGGCGGGGAGGCCGTGGGAAAGGACATGTCTCGGAAGCCCAAGAGCAGGAAACAAGGGGCTTCTGAAGTTGGAGGGCTGAGGAGACAGGAGAGAAAGGGTCAAACGGCGGGAAGCAAGCGGCCGCAGAGCGAGATTGTCTCGGGAGGTTCATTTAAAGAGCACCCAGTGCAGCAGTCAGTCGGGCAGCAGAGTGAGAAGCAGCAGATGGAGAGAGGTTCAGCTAGCACAACCCCTTCCACACGGCAGGTCAGCATGACCAACACGTCTCCCCCTCCTCGAACCTCCCTCAGTGCCCCTTCCGCTGCCTCCCCTTCCCTCGCCTACTCCTTCTCGCTGCCTTCCCATCACTCAGCCGTGACAGCTGGATTGGAGGGGGCGGAAGGTGGGAAGGGAGGGTTGAGGGTACACGGGCAGCAGCACTTTAGTGAAACGAATCCCATGGCCGATGAAAAGCTGCTGAGCCCTCCCAAGCGCATTCGGTCAATGAAGGGGAGAGTAGAAGGTACAGGGAATATTAACATGGTAGATGGAGACAGACTGCGAGGCAGTGGTTTGGAGTACCACCAATCGAGAGACTTTGACCTGGCAAAGCATGTTGTGCAGGGTGAGGCAGGGCAGAAAGGCGGTATGGCGGATGAAAACATGCGCGCAGAAGATTCTGTGTATGGTGGTCCTGCAGCATCGGCAGAGACGGCGTCAGCAGGAGTGGCGGACGTGACTGCCATGGCTGGGTGGCTGAGAGCAGCACGCGTGCGCAGCGGTGAGCAGTGGGGACCCCCGCCATCCAGCTTCCCTGCTGCTGGCGGGCCTGGGGTGCCCGCAAGGGCTGCAGGAGGGATGGAAGAGGATGGGCAGGCAGGTGGAGGGGGAGAAAGGGTGAGCAAGGGAGAGGACGCAGCGGCATATGCGGTGGACACACAGCGGTGGCACAAGACACAGCGCTCGCGCGTGGAAATATTGGAGGGCAACTTGCCGCCCTGGCAGGCAGCTGACTTGTTTCTCTCAGGCGCACTTTCAGCTCAGGCAGAGAGAGGGTTTGGTGTGACAGCAGCAGGCGAACAGGGGTCTCGTGATGCTGACTCGTCCACCAGAGCGACCTTTTCCAGGGCTGCTGCTGCTGCCACTGCTGCTGCTGCTGATGCGAGCCATGGTGCGAGTGAGAGGGCAGAGGCAGGGCTGACATTTGACCTCAACATGGCACATGGGGTGGATGAGGACGAGGAGGACAAGGAGTGCGGCAGTGACAAGCAGCAGACTCAAGCAGTTGGGGGTATCACTGATGTGGTGTGTGCTGAAGATCCCAGTCCGAACATCTGGAGTAGGGGCGGAGCATCCGGAGCTACTGGTGCAGGCACACCTGGTGCAGGCGTACCCACCATGAGCATTCCCGAATCGTGTTGCTCCTGGAACTGCGTGTTCTTCTCGCTTCCCTGCCGCAGAAAGACACGGGTGCAGATGACAGGCAGCCAGGCAGGGGAAAGAGGTGCGACGGAACAAAAGGAATCTGAGTGAGCAGGGCGGAGGTGGCCAGTGCAGGGCGGAGGTGGCCAGTGCAGGGCGGAGGTATCCAACCTTCAGTATTGGTGGATGAATCCGTACAAGAACTAGCTGTGGATTTAGGAAGAGATGGATCGAGGAACTGGCACTCAACCTGACCTGCCATGGATGGTGTCATGGTGAACTCATCTAGTGATGGGTACTTCTACACCTCACAACCAGATGTACGGTAAGTTATTGTTTTATTATGCCTTATTGTGTCTGCTCTTGGCGGGTCCAATGACACCAGCACGGACTTGCGCTGGTAGATCTGTGATGCTGATGCGTGGCATGTGGGCAAACCAACCTGACTTATGCCTTCGTAAATTCATTGTATTTTAGTGCAAGAACAAAACTTATTCCACTTCATATGAATAAGTTTAATTTTAGCACATCGTGCGGACGTTTTAGAACATCGTTAGGAAACTTCTTGGGAAGCTGGATGCTTGGAATTCTGATGCATGGTTGGTCATGCTTAAAACCCGGGGTCAGCATGGTAAAATTTCAAGTTATGTGGATTTGAAATAGGGTGTAGGTGAGGGTGTGCGAAACCTATTTCGGTTGTGTAGCTTTGGCGAGAATAACAAACCTCCGCGAGCAATTCGACATTTCGTGCATACCAAACCTGCGATTCCCACCAAACCAAAGCGAAAAATGGGTCGCATGAAGTGAAGAAGACAGCCAATGGGTCGCAGAAGGTTTCGCACACCTTCCCACTCTTACAACACACAAGGTTTGTGAGCCTGCACTGGAAGTCTTAGCGAAACTGATTCAACTTGACTGTGCTCACGGGAAATAGAACACCAGAGCAAACGCACGCCTTTCTAACAACGCCACCTACTCAGACTTATGTCAGTAAAGCGATGCCGACAAAGGAAATGTTACGAGCCTCACCGCGCGTGGACCAGATCGCTCAACGGGCGAAGGAGCGGATAGTTGCGCGCACCTCTCGAGTCCCTGGAACACGCACCAGCCGCCTAGCAGCACCCGCTCCAGGCATCTAGTAGCAGCTCACGTTCCAGGCGACGCGGGGCGCGCGCACCGGGTGACGAGCAGCCCGCGTGAGCGCGCGACTATCAGCGGTGGAACCTGGGCGACGAGCAGCGCGCGCTGATGGCGACGCGCAGCACATGCTCCTTTCCGCCCCTGCTTACCCTCCTTTCCGCCCCTGCTTACCCTCCTTTCCGCCCCTGCTTCCTCTCCTTTCCGCCCCTGCTTCCCCTCCTTTCCGCCCCTGCTTACCCTCCTTTCCGCCCCTGCTTACCCTCCTTTCCGCCCCTGCTTCCCCTCCTTTCCGCCCCTGCTTCCCCTCCTTTCCGCCCCTGCTTCCCCTCCTTTCCGCCCCTGCTTACCCTCCTTTCCGCCCCTGCTTCCCCTCCTTTCCGCCCCTGCTTCCTCTCCTTTCCGCCCCTGCTTCCCCTCCTTTCCGCCCCTGCTTCCCCTCCTTTCCGCCCCTGCTTACCCTCCTTTCCGCCCCTGCTTCCCCTCCTTTCCGCCCCTGCTTACCCTCCTTTCCGCCCCTGCTTCCCCTCCTTTCCGCCCCTGCTTCCCCTCCTTTCCGCCCCTGCTTACCCTCCTTTCCGCCCCTGCTTCCCTTCCTTTCCGCCCCTGCTTACCCTCCTTTCCGCCCCTGCTTCCTCTCCTTTCCGCCCCTGCTTACCCTCCTTTCCGCCCCTGCTTCCCCTCCTTTCCGCCCCTGCTTCCCCTCCTTTCCGCCCCTGCTTACCCTCCTTTCCGCCCCTGCTTACCCTCCTTTCCGCCCCTGCTTCCCCTCCTTTCCGCCCCTGCTTCCCCTCCTTTCCGCCCCTGCTTACCCTCCTTTCCGCCCCTGCTTCCCCTCCTTTCCGCCCCTGCTTACCCTCCTTTCCGCCCCTGCTTCCCCTCCTTTCCGCCCCTGCTTCCCCTCCTTTCCGCCCCTGCTTCCCTCCTTTCCGCCCCTGCTTACCCTCCTTTCCGCCCCTGCTTACCCTCCTTTCCGCCCCTGCTTCCCTTCCTTTCCGCCCCTGCTTACCCTCCTTTCCGCCCCTGCTTCCCCTCCTTTCCGCCCCTGCTTCCCTCCTTTCCGCCCGTGCTTACCCTCCTTTCCGCCCCTGCTTCCCCTCCTTTCCGCCCCTGCTTCCCCTCCTTTCCGCCCCTGCTTACCCTCCTTTCCGCCCCTGCTTCCCCTCCTTTCCGCCCCTGCTTACCCTCCTTTCCGCCCCTGCTTCCCCTCCTTTCCGCCCCTGCTTCCCCTCCTTTCCGCCCCTGCTTACCCTCCTTTCCGCCCCTGCTTCCCCTCCTTTCCGCCCCTGCTTCCCCTCCTTTCCGCCCCTGCTTCCCCTCCTTTCCGCCCCTGCTTCCCCTCCTTTCCGCCCCTGCTTCCCCTCCTTTCCGCCCCTGCTTCCCCTCCTTTCCGCCCCTGCTTACCCTCCTTTCCGCCCCTGCTTCCCCTCCTTTCCGCCCCTGCTTACCCTCCTTTCCGCCCCTGCTTCCCCTCCTTTCCGCCCCTGCTTCCCCTCCTTTCCGCCCCTGCTTACCCTCCTTTCCGCCCCTGCTTCCCTTCCTTTCCGCCCCTGCTTACCCTCCTTTCCTCCCCTGCTTCCTCTCCTTTCCGCCCCTGCTTACCCTCCTTTCCGCCCCTGCTTCCCCTCCTTTCCGCAACCTCCTTTCCGCCCCTGCTTACCCTCCTTTCCGCCCCTGCTTACCCTCCTTTCCGCCCCTGCTTCCCCTCCTTTCCGCCCCTGCTTCCCCTCCTTTCCGCCCCTGCTTACCCTCCTTTCCGCCCCTGCTTCCCCTCCTTTCCGCCCCTGCTTACCCTCCTTTCCGCCCCTGCTTCCCCTCCTTTCCGCCCCTGCTTCCCCTCCTTTCCGCCCCTGCTTCCCCTCCTTTCCGCCCCTGCTTACCCTCCTTTCCGCCCCTGCTTACCCTCCTTTCCGCCCCTGCTTCCCCTCCTTTCCGCCCCTGCTTACCCTCCTTTCCGCCCCTGCTTCCCTTCCTTTCCGCCCCTGCTTACCCTCCTTTCCGCCCCTGCTTCCCCTCCTTTCCGCCCCTGCTTCCCATCCTTTCCGCCCCTGCTTACCCTCCTTTCCGCCCCTGCTTCCCCTCCTTTCCGCCCCTGCTTCCCCTCCTTTCCGCCCCTGCTTACCCTCCTTTCCGCCCCTGCTTCCCCTCCTTTCCGCCCCTGCTTACCCTCCTTTCCGCCCCTGCTTCCCCTCCTTTCCGCCCCTGCTTCCCCTCCTTTCCGCCCCTGCTTCCCCTCCTTTCCGCCCCTGCTTACCCTCCTTTCCGCCCCTGCTTCCCCTCCTTTCCGCCCCTGCTTCCCCTCCTTTCCGCCCCTGCTTCCCCTCCTTTCCGCCCCTGCTTCCCCTCCTTTCCGCCCCTGCTTCCCCTCCTTTCCGCCCCTGCTTACCCTCCTTTCCGCCCCTGCTTCCCCTCCTTTCCGCCCCTGCTTACCCTCCTTTCCGCCCCTGCTTCCCCTCCTTTCCGCCCCTGCTTACCCTCCTTTCCGCCCCTGCTTCCCCTCCTTTCCGCCCCTGCTTACCCTCCTTTCCGCCCCTGCTTCCCCTCCTTTCCGCCCCTGCTTCCCCTCCTTTCCGCCCCTGCTTCCCCTCCTTTCCGCCCCTGCTTACCCTCCTTTCCGCCCCTGCTTCCCCTCCTTTCCGCCCCTGCTTCCCCTCCTTTCCGCCCCTGCTTACCCTCCTTTCCTCCCCTGCTTCCTCTCCTTTCCGCCCCTGCTTACCCTCCTTTCCTCCCCTGCTTCCCTCCTTTCCGCCCCTGCTTACCCTCCTTTCCGCCCCTGCTTCCCCTCCTTTCCGCCCCTGCTTCCCCTCCTTTCCGCCCCTGCTTACCCTCCTTTCCGCCCCTGCTTACCCTCCTTTCCGCCCCTGCTTCCCCTCCTTTCCGCCCCCTGCTTCCCTCCTTTCCGCCCCTGCTTACCCTCCTTTCCGCCCCTGCTTCCCCTCCTTTCCGCCCCTGCTTACCCTCCTTTCCGCCCCTGCTTCCCCTCCTTTCCGCCCCTGCTTCCCCTCCTTTCCGCCCCTGCTTCACCTCCTTTCCGCCCCTGCTTACCCTCCTTTCCGCCCCTGCTTACCCTCCTTTCCGCCCCTGCTTCCCCTCCTTTCCGCCCCTGCTTACCCTCCTTTCCGCCCCTGCTTCCCTCCTTTCCGCCCCTGCTTACCCTCCTTTCCGCCCCTGCTTCCCTCCTTTCCGCCCCTGCTTCCCATCCTTTCCGCCCCTGCTTACCCTCCTTTCCGCCCCTGCTTCCCCTCCTTTCCGCCCCTGCTTCCCTCCTTTCCGCCCCTGCTTACCCTCCTTTCCGCCCCTGCTTCCCCTCCTTTCCGCCCCTGCTTACCCTCCTTTCCGCCCCTGCTTCCTCTCCTTTCCGCCCCTGCTTCCCCTCCTTTCCGCCCCTGCTTCCCCTCCTTTCCGCCCCTGCTTACCCTCCTTTCCGCCCCTGCTTCCCCTCCTTTCCGCCCCTGCTTCCCCTCCTTTCCGCCCCTGCTTCCCCTCCTTTCCGCCCCTGCTTACCCTCCTTTCCGCCCCTGCTTCCCCTCCTTTCCGCCCCTGCTTCCCCTTCCTTTCCGCCCCTGCTTACCCTCCTTTCCTCCCCTGCTTCCTCTCCTTTCCGCCCCTGCTTACCCTCCTTTCCGCCCCTGCTTCCCCTCCTTTCCGCCCCTGCTTCCCCTCCTTTCCGCCCCTGCTTACCCTCCTTTCCGCCCCTGCTTCCCTCCTTTCCGCCCCTGCTTCCCCTCCTTTCCGCCCCTGCTTACCCTCCTTTCCGCCCCTGCTTCCCTCCTTTCCGCCCCTGCTTCCCCTCCTTTCCGCCCCTGCTTCCCCTCCTTTCCGCCCCTGCTTACCCTCCTTTCCGCCCCTGCTTACCCTCCTTTCCGCCCCTGCTTCCCCTCCTTTCCGCCCCTGCTTACCCTCCTTTCCGCCCCTGCTTCCCTTCCTTTCCGCCCCTGCTTACCCTCCTTTCCGCCCCTGCTTCCCTCCTTTCCGCCCCTGCTTCCCATCCTTTCCGCCCCTGCTTACCCTCCTTTCCGCCCCTGCTTCCCCTCCTTTCCGCCCCTGCTTCCCTCCTTTCCGCCCCTGCTTACCCTCCTTTCCGCCCCTGCTTCCCCTCCTTTCCGCCCCTGCTTACCCTCCTTTCCGCCCCTGCTTCCCCTCCTTTCCGCCCCTGCTTCCCCTCCTTTCCGCCCCTGCTTCCCCTCCTTTCCGCCCCTGCTTACCCTCCTTTCCGCCCCTGCTTCCCCTCCTTTCCGCCCCTGCTTCCCCTCCTTTCCGCCCCTGCTTCCCCTCCTTTCCGCCCCTGCTTCCCCTCCTTTCCGCCCCTGCTTCCCCTCCTTTCCGCCCCTGCTTACCCTCCTTTCCGCCCCTGCTTCCCTCCTTTCCGCCCCTGCTTACCCCTCCTTTCCCCTCCTTTCCGCCCCTGCTTACCCTCCTTTCCGCCCCTGCTTCCCCTCCTTTCCGCCCCTGCTTACCCTCCTTTCCGCCCCTGCTTCCCCTCCTTTCCGCCCCTGCTTCCCCTCCTTTCCGCCCCTGCTTCCCCTCCTTTCCGCCCCTGCTTACCCTCCTTTCCGCCCCTGCTTCCCCTCCTTTCCGCCCCTGCTTCCCATCCTTTCCGCCCCTGCTTCCCCTCCTTTCCGCCCCTGCTTACCCTCCTTTCCGCCCCTGCTTCCCCTCCTTTCCGCCCCTGCTTCCCTCCTTTCCGCCCCTGCTTACCCTCCTTTCCGCCCCTGCTTCCCTCCTTTCCGCCCCTGCTTCCCCTCCTTTCCGCCCCTGCTTCCCTCCTTTCCGCCCCTGCTTCCCCTCCTTTCCGCCCCTGCTTACCCTCCTTTCCGCCCCTGCTTCCCCTCCTTTCCGCCCCTGCTTCCCCTCCTTTCCGCCCCTGCTTACCCTCCTTTCCGCCCCTGCTTCCCCTCCTTTCCGCCCCTGCTTCCCTCCTTTCCGCCCCTGCTTCCCCTCCTTTCCGCCCCTGCTTACCCTCCTTTCCGCCCCTGCTTCCCTCCTTTCCGCCCCTGCTTCCCTCCTTTCCGCCCCTGCTTCCCTCCTTTCCGCCCCCCCTGCTTACCCTCCTTTCCGCCCCTGCTTCCCTCCTTTCCGCCCCTGCTTCCCCTCCTTTCCCCCCTGCTTCCCCTCCTTTCCGCCCCTGCTTCCCCTCCTTTCCGCCCCTGCTTACCCTCCTTTCCGCCCCTGCTTCCCCTCCTTTCCGCCCCTGCTTCCCTCCTTTCCGCCCCTGCTTCCCCTCCTTTCCGCCCCTGCTTCCCTCCTTTCCGCCCCTGCTTACCCTCCTTTCCGCCCCTGCTTCCCCTCCTTTCCGCCCCTGCTTACCCTCCTTTCCGCCCCTGCTTACCCTCCTTTCCGCCCCTGCTTCCCTCCTTTCCGCCCCTGCTTCCCCTCCTTTCCGCCCCTGCTTCCCTCCTTTCCGCCCCTGCTTCCCCTCCTTTCCGCCCCTGCTTACCCTCCTTTCCGCCCCTGCTTCCCCTCCTTTCCGCCCCTGCTTCCCCTCCTTTCCGCCCCTGCTTCCCCTCCTTTCCGCCCCTGCTTCCCCTCCTTTCCGCCCCTGCTTCCCCTCCTTTCCGCCCCTGCTTCCCTCCTTTCCGCCCCTGCTTCCCTCCTTTCCGCCCCTGCTTCCCCTCCTTTCCGCCCCTGCTTACCCTCCTTTCCGCCCCTGCTTCCCTCCTTTCCGCCCCTGCTTACCCTCCTTTCCGCCCCTGCTTCCCCTCCTTTCCGCCCCTGCTTCCCTCCTTTCCGCCCCTGCTTCCCCTCCTTTCCGCCCCTGCTTCCCCTCCTTTCCGCCCCTGCTTACCCTCCTTTCCGCCCCTGCTTCCCCTCCTTTCCGCCCCTGCTTCCCCTCCTTTCCGCCCCTGCTTCCCCTCCTTTCCGCCCCTGCTTCCCCTCCTTTCCGCCCCTGCTTCCCCTCCTTTCCGCCCCTGCTTACCCTCCTTTCCGCCCCTGCTTCCCCTCCTTTCCGCCCCTGCTTACCCTCCTTTCCGCCCCTGCTTCCCCTCCTTTCCGCCCCTGCTTACCCTCCTTTCCGCCCCTGCTTCCCCTCCTTTCCGCCCCTGCTTACCCTCCTTTCCGCCCCTGCTTCCCTCCTTTCCGCCCCTGCTTACCCTCCTTTCCGCCCCTGCTTCCCCTCCTTTCCGCCCCTGCTTACCCTCCTTTCCGCCCCTGCTTCCCCTTTCCTTTCCGCCCCTGCTTACCCTCCTTTCCGCCCCTGCTTCCCCTCCTTTCCGCCCCTGCTTACCCTCCTTTCCGCCCCTGCTTCCCCTCCTTTCCGCCCCTGCTTCCCCTCCTTTCCGCCCCTGCTTACCCTCCTTTCCGCCCCTGCTTCCTCCTTTCCGCCCCTGCTTACCCTCCTTTCCGCCCCTGCTTCCCTCCTTTCCGCCCCTGCTTACCCTCCTTTCCGCCCCTGCTTCCCCTCCTTTCCGCCCCTGCTTCCCCTCCTTTCCGCCCCTGCTTCCCCTCCTTTCCGCCCCTGCTTCCCCTCCTTTCCGCCCCTGCTTCCCCTCCTTTCCGCCCCTGCTTCCCCTCCTTTCCGCCCCTGCTTCCCCTCCTTTCCGCCCCTGCTTCCCCTCCTTTCCGCCCCTGCTTCCCCTCCTTTCCGCCCCTGCTTCCCCTCCTTTCCGCCCCTGCTTCCCCTCCTTTCCGCCCCTGCTTCCCCTCCTTTCCGCCCCTGCTTCCCCTCCTTTCCGCCCCTGCTTACCCTCCTTTCCGCCCCTGCTTCCCCTCCTTTCCGCCCCTGCTTACCCTCCTTTCCGCCCCTGCTTCCCCTCCTTTCCGCCCCTGCTTACCCTCCTTTCCGCCCCTGCTTCCCCTCCTTTCCGCCCCTGCTTACCCTCCTTTCCGCCCCTGCTTCCCCTCCTTTCCGCCCCTGCTTCCCCTCCTTTCCGCCCCTGCTTCCCCTCCTTTCCGCCCCTGCTTCCCCTCCTTTCCGCCCCTGCTTACCCTCCTTTCCGCCCCTGCTTCCCCTCCTTTCCGCCCCTGCTTCCCCTCCTTTCCGCCCCTGCTTCCCCTCCTTTCCGCCCCTGCTTCCCCTCCTTTCCGCCCCTGCTTACCCTCCTTTCCGCCCCTGCTTCCCTTCCTTTCCGCCCCTGCTTACCCTCCTTTCCGCCCCTGCTTCCCTTCCTTTCCGCCCCTGCTTACCCTCCTTTCCGCCCCTGCTTCCCCTCCTTTCCGCCCCTGCTTCCCTCCTTTCCGCCCCTGCTTCCCCTCCTTTCCGCCCCTGCTTCCGGCTTCCCTCCGGCTTGACAACTGTCGCCACGTCACAGACTCTGCTCTCAGCATGCTCTCAGGTATCCTGGAGATGCTCTCTCAGGTGATCCCTCAGGTGCTCTCGCAGGTGTTTCCTCAGGTGGTTTTTAGGTGCTCTTTTAGGTGCTTCTTCAGGTGCTCACTCAGCTGCATGTTCTCGGATGCGTCTTCGTTGGTCCACTTGCGCCACCTGTCTGTGTGGGGCAGCATCATCACCAACGCCTCTGCCCCTCAATCTCTCCCGTGTGCTCTTTTATGACATCAACTTCGTTACCACCCTTTCTCCCACCCCTCTGCCCCTCCAACCCCACCCACTCTTCCCCCAGACCCTCGTTCATTTGCGCCATCTGTCTGTGTGGGGCAGCATCATCACCAACGCCTCTGCCCCTCTCCTCCTCACCTTCCCCAACTCTCACTGTACTCTTTCCATCCCCCCCCCATCCCTTCCCTTCCCCCCCTCCAGTCGCTGGCCCACTTGCGCCATCTGTCAGTGTGGAGCAGCAGCATCACCAACGCCACCGCCTTGCTGCTCCTCGCCTAATTACCTCCTCGCTGGAAATGCCCCTCCTTCCCCTTTTTCTTCCTCTCATTTCCTTCATTGTCCCCCGCTGCTTGCCCTGTTCCTCTCCTCTCCTCCCTCTTCCAGTCTCCTCCATTCCCTCCCCTCCCTCTTCCAGTCTCTTCCATTCCCTCTCCTCCCTCTTCCAGTCTCCTCCATTCTCTCTCCTCCCTCGTCCAATCGACTCCCTTCCGTCTCCTCCCTCCCTTGTCCAATCTCCTCTTTTCCCTCTCCCATCTTCCCTATCCCCCCAAATCCTTGTCTCCCTTTTTCTCCTCCTCCCCCTCTTCCTATCTCATTCTTGCCCCCTATCTCATCCTATCTCATTTCTCCTGCTTTCCCCCTGTTAGCCCCCTATTCCCTCCCTGCTAGTCCCTTGTTCCCTCCCTCGTCCAATCTCCTCCCTTGCTCCCTTCCTCTCTTCCGCACATCCTCCCTTCCACTCTGTCCTGCCTTTCCTCCCTTGCTCTTCCCTCATTTCCCACCCAGCGTCCCCTCATTTCCCTGCTGTTCATTATGGTCCCCCCCTTGCTTACAGTGCCTTCCTTTCCCCCGTGCTAGCCTTCCTCCCCCCTGCTCACCCTTCCTAACCCTCCAGCTTACCCTCTGTTTTTTCTCTCCATTCTGTTTTTTTTTTTCCTTGACAGCACCACAATGGCAGGAGGAGGCCCGTGTTGTTCTTGAGTGAAGCTCTTTGCACCTTGGTGGAACTAAATACCAGTATACAGTTGTACCAGCTTGTGTGTGGCATTAGCGTATCAATCAAGCGATCTGGTAGCATATTACAACAGTTCATTCAAGAGTTTCAGTGCATGCAATAGCTTTGATGGCGTAGATAACATCTGTAACTTGCAAACCTTACATCTTTTAGATAAGCATTATTACATGATGCAACTGGGCACAGCACTGAGGTATGCAACTTGTGCAATATGGTGTACACACTTCAGGGTAAATGCGAGTGTTGTCTCCTGCTCTAGCTGTTCAGGGTTCGCTCAACACTTCCTTGAGCCTGCGGCTGCTCCCTTTACTCTGCCAAACTCATCTGAGCCCGACCTGGTCATGCTTGAAGTGGAAACAAAGGGATGAGCGATGGGTGGAGAGGCACATGGGGAGGGAGAGGAGAGATGGTGAGATCGAGGGAGAGGAGGGGCAGGCCGGGGAAATCGAAGGCTCGCGTGATGCGTGGCGCTCACCTCTCTGAGGGTGGCGGTGAGCAGGGCGGAGGGTGGGGGAAGCATGGCAGAAGGAGGGGGGAAGAAGAGAGGAGGGAGGGGGGAAGCATGGCAGGAGGGGGGAAGCATGGCAGAAGGAGGGGGGAAGAAGAGAGGAGGGAGGGGGGAAGCATGGCAGGAGGGGGGAAGCATGGCAGAAGGAGGGGGGAAGAAGAGAGGAGGGAGGGGGGAAGCATGGCAGGAGGGGGGAAGCATGGCAGAAGGAGGGGGGAAGAAGAGAGGAGGGAGGGGGGAAGCATGGCAGGAGGGGGGAAGCATGGCAGAAGGAGGGGGGAAGCAGGGCATAGGGAGGGGGGAAGCAGAGAGGAGGGAGGGGGGAAGCATGGCAGAAGGAGGGGGGAAGCAGGGCATAGGGAGGGGGGAAGCAGGGCGGAGGGAGGGGGGAAGCATGGCAGAAGGAGGGGGGAAGCATGGCAGAAGGAGGGGGGAAGCAGGGCATAGGGAGGGGGGAAGCAGAGAGGAGGGAGGAGGGAAGCATGGCAGAAGGAGGGGGGAAGCAGGGCATAGGGAGGGGGGAAGCAGAGAGGAGGGAGGGGGGAAGCATGGCAGAAGGAGGGGGGAAGCAGGGCATAGGGAGGGGGGAAGCAGGGCGGAGGGAGGGGGGAGGCATGGCGGAGGGAGGGGGGAAGCAGGGCGGAGGGAGGGGGGAAGCAGGGCGGAGGGAGGGGGGAAGCAGGGCGGAGGGATGGAGGAAGCAGGGAGGAGGGAGTGGGGAAGCAGGGAGGAAGGAGTGGGGAAGCAGGGAGGAAGGAGTGGGGAAGCAGGGAGGAAGGAGTGGGGAAGCAGGGAGGAAGGAGTGGGGAAGCAGGGAGGAAGGAGTGGGAAAGCAGGGAGGAAGGAGTGGGGAAGCAGGGAGGAAGGAGTGGGGAAGCAGGGAGGAAGGAGTGGGGAAGCAGGGAGGAAGGAGTGGGGAAGCAGGGAGGAAGGAGTGGGGAAGCAGGGAGGAAGGAGTGGGGAAGCAGGGAGGAAGGAGTGGGGAATGCTGGTGGTGTGTGGGGGCCTTCGCTACCGATGGGGAGTGGCGACTTGGATAGACATGGGAATAAGTGGAAGTGCGTGTGGATGGGGGAACAGAGCCGACAACGGGAGGCGAGGGCGTTGAGGAGCAACGCAAGCGACGAGGTAAGAAAAAGGGGAGATTCGGGTAAGCCTTTCACACGTGGGAAAGAGCGCGAGACGTGGGCAAGTGGTGATGATGCGGGAAAGCGCGGGTGACCTCGGGTAAGCACGGGAAGCGCGGGTACGCGCGGGAAACGCGGGTACGCGCGGGAAACGCGGGTAAGCGCGGGTAAGTGGGGATGACGCGGGTAAGCGTGGGTGACGGGGGTAAGCGCGGGAAACGCGGGTAAGCGTGGGAAGCGCGGGTGAGCGTGGGAGATGAGGGCAAGCTCTGTGGCGAGGGGAAACGCTTGCGACGAGGGGACGCGCGGGCGACGAGGGCATGCGCGAGTGCAGCAGCGCTCGTAACTTGGGGTCGCGCGAATCGCGAGAGAAGCGCGGACGATGAGGTGGTGCACTCGCCACATACTAAGTGTGGGTGTCTAGACGAGGCGAGGATGTGGCCTGAAGGCGGATCGTAGCAAAGTGTTTGTTGGGCGGTCCCTGCTATGCTGGCCAATGCGTTGCGGGGGTTGTAATGGAGGTAACCAGCAGCCTTTGCCGACCTGTGGCGGAAGGAACGGGCGTCCCGTGGCTGGCATGCGAAAATGGTAGGGTAATAGTGTGTTTGGCAAGAAGCGGGTGTTGCTCAGCTATTGGCTTGACAGCGGGAGTGACGAGAGCTGGAATGAAAAAAAAAAGCTTCTACCTAAACTAGCTTTTACCGCCTGCTGCGCGTTTCCTAGTTACGTGCCTAACCTAGCGGATTAGGAGTACTACTTGGTCGTCAAGTTATGTGAGAGGCGAGCAGGGCAACCTGGTGGGCGATGTTCGGATCTGTTGTGCGACTGGGCACAGGAACCAATCAGGAATGACCGTCGCAAGAAGTTTTCCCTGGGTCGCGAGAGTTCTTTCAAACAAAAGAGGGTAACCCTGTTTTTAACGACTTCAAGTTCAAGAATCTTGAACTTGAAAAATACCATGCTGTACCCGGGCTTTAATTTGTGCTTCTAGCATTACCAAGTCTCCATCCCACTTCTTTGGTAGGGTGTAAGATTTGGTTCCTCAATAAAGTAGAGGCCAACCCAACATACCGTTATTTTAGCTCTCTGTACCCGTATTCTCCCGAATAAAACACCCTAGCGTGTTATGATAACCACTGGGAAAAAATGGGGGGGGGGGTTCTCCTCAAAGGAAAATCCTACATAATACCCGGGTCGATTCATATGACATTGTGTAATATAAGGATTTTGATAAATGGACAGCTTGGGTGTTTTCGAAGTTGGTCTACCAACACACTCAGAGGCGGGAACGTAAGTTTCGGCAAGTGATGTCTTGACCACCTTGAAGACTGCATGTGGCACCTCTCTGGCCATATGACAACAAAAGATTCGCCAGCGTGGCGACAGCGAAATTGTGGAAGGGAGGGAATCTCGGCAAATATCATTTGAAAGTTCCGTGTAATTTCGTAGAGGGAGGGATTTTCGCGTCCTCCCGTGTCAGAGTCTAGCAGGAAGAATGAGTGCACTAGGCAGGAATGAGGCACAAATATGGCAAACCCTAATAAGGTTGTACCCCTTATGGGCTGCCCCACTATAGCCTACACAACATATTTTGACACACCCCCATAGGCAAAGTGGGGGAGAACAGGCGGTCACAAGACCAGTCAAGAGAAACAAAGCAAGCTCAGGGTGGATCACGAAGTCACCACACATTCCCTTGTCTACGTACAGAACTGGAGGAGAACTAGGCCGCTCTCCCAAGTCAGTCAGCAGATAGGTGAGCCAGCGTAACTCCTGCGCAGCCATGGCTCCTGCGTAGATCTCAGCCTCACAACTAGAGCTGAGAACAGAAGAAGAGCGGGTAGACCGCCAAGAAACAGAGCCGAAACCAAGGCTGAACGAGTAACCCTGAGACGATCGCTGCGTAGCCAGGTCGTCAACCCAAGAGGCGTCTGAGTGTCTAGCCGTCAAACATATATGCAGCATATTGTCTAGGCTGTAGTGGGGTAGCCCATATGGGGTACAACCCAATTAGGGTTTACTATTTGTACTCATGCGTGCTGTTAGTTCATCATTCCTGCCTGTGATTCTAACATGGTTTCAGAGCAGGAGGTCCCTAGGACCTACCGATCTGTTTTTTTTTTAGGGCCCACCGTCGCACGCATGCGGTTACCACGCTACCCCGCGCCCTACCCTCGATGCGCCCTCGTTGCGCCCTAGCTGCGCCCTCGTGCGCCCTCGCGCGCCCCCGTTAGCGCCCTCGCGCGCCCTCGCTGCGCCCTCGCGCGCCCCTCGTTAGCGCCTTCACGCGCCCCAGTTAGCGCCCTCGTGCGCCCCTCGTTAGCGCCCTCGTGCGCCCGCGCTGCCCGCCCGTCGCGCTGCCCGCCGCGCTGCCCGCCGCGCTGCCCACCGTCGCGCTGCCTGCCGCGTCGCCCGCCAGTCGCGCAGCCCGCTGAGCGGCCCGCTCGCTGCGCTGCCCGCCCGTCGCGCTGCACGCCGCGCTGCCCGCCCGCCGCGCTGCCCGCCGCGCTGCCCGCCCGTCGCACTGCCTGCCGCGCTGCCCGCCGTCGCGCTGCCTGCCGCGCAGCCCGTCCCGAGCCCGCGCGACGCGCGCGCGGCCCGCAGCTGCCCCGCGCAGCCCGTCCCGAGCCCGCGCGACGCGCGCGCGGCCCGCCGCTGCCCCGCGCAGCTCGCCCCAAGCCCGCGCGGCGCGTCCGCGGCCCGCAGCGCGCTGCGCGCCGTCCGCGCGGCCCGCGCCGCGCCCTACCCGCCAGTGCACGGCCCCCGGCAGCGGCTCGCGCCACCCTACCGCCGCCACGGCCCCACCCTGCCGCTGACACGACCCGGCCCTGCCCTGCCGCTGCCACGACCCGGCCCTGCCCTGCCGCTGACTCGATCCGGCCCTTCACTGTAGCCGCTGCCGCGGCCCTGCTGTCGCCGCCGTCGTACGCCGACCCTGCCGCCGTCCGCCGAGCACCGGCCCTGCTCGCCCGGTGAGAGCCTGCTCTTCCTGCCACTGGTGAGCCCCTGCCTTGCTAGCGCACTGCACGCGCCGCCTGCCTGCCTGCCTGCCTGCCTGTCGTTCCTGACCTGCTGCTACTGGCCGACGCCAGATGCAGCCCCAGCGACGTCCGCGTGAGTCCCTCACGCCCCAGCAGCTGCGTGAGTGGTACGCTAGTTGGGGTTGTAGGGGTGGCCGCGCTGCTACTGCTGCCACTACTGCTGCTGCTACTGCTGCTGCTGCTACTGGCGGTGGCCAGATGCAGCTACACTGTCGTCCACGCGAGTCTCGCACGCCCCAGCAGCTTCGTGAGTGGTACGCTCAGAGTGGAGGGTCTCTCATTTCTGTTCGCTGCTCTTACGTCATTCGCACTGGTGCTCGGACTGGTCAGCCTTGCGGGACACCTAGTCACACGCAGTCCCGCTGCTTCGCCCGTCTGAGCGACGCCTGGCGTACCGAGTTTGGCGACGGGGCTGAGCTCCCCGACTGGGTGGAGCTACTTAGGCAGAGAGTAGATATATTTGCTCTTGACTATGATGCTATTCTCACTGCCATGTATGCATTGCCTACTAGTGTTGACCGTGCCTGTTACCTGTGTGTGCCGCCTGACCCAGGTATAGCGCCTGCTGCTCTAGGTACTGGTGAGGCTGCTGCTCTAGGTGCTACTGCGTCTCCTGCTCTCGGTGCTGGTGAGGCTGCTGCTCTCGGTGCTACTGCGTCTTCTGCTCTAGGTGCTGGTGAGGCTGCTGCTCCAGGTCCTGGTGAGTCTGCCCTCTCTGGTTCTTCGCCTGCTGCGACCCTGCACACCTTCACCCTTGACTCAGGAGCTTCCCGCTCCTTCTTTCGCGACTGCACCACACTTACGCCGCTTAGTCGGCCGGTTGCAGTCTCCCTGGCAGACCCCTCTAGGGGTCCAGTCCTTGCCCACTACTCCACGGTTCTGCCGTGTCTGGCCGCCCCGTCTAGCTTGCTGTCAGGTCTCTACCTCCCCTCGTTCTCTACGAACCTGGTGAGTGGAGCTGACCTCCAGGATGGGGGGGTTGACCAGTTCACTCCTGCGCGTCAGCGGGTGACTCACTGTACGTGTGCTCGGACGGGCCGACACCTGGCCACTTTCACCCGTGAGCCTGGCTCGAGCCTGTACACCCTGACCACTGAGTCCCCTCAGGTAGCTGCGTCTGCGTCTGCGTCAGGTCAGCTGTCGGCCCCCTGCTTGTGTCGCGCCTTGTCGCACGAGACCCTCCTTTGGCACCACCGCCTTGGTCACCCTTCGGTGCAGCGCCTTCGCAGCATGCACCGTCGTGTCCTTGTCTCTGGTCTTCCCAGGGTTCTCCCTCCCCTCCCACCCTCGCCTGCTCCTCCCTGTCTTCCCTGTGTCGAGGGGCGGCAGCGCGCCGCTCCTCACTCCTCGTTCCCTCCCACAGAGGCTCCCTTGCAGACTCTCCACTTGGACGTGTGGGGCCCAGCCCGCGTCCGTGGACAGGACCACGAGCGGTACTTCCTGCTGGTTGTCGACGACTACACGCGTTACACCACGGTCTTCCCCTTGCGCACCAAGGGTGAGGTCCCTGCTGTTTTGATCCCCTGGATCCGCGCTGCTCGTCTCCAGCTCCGCCGGCGGTTCGGGACAGAGTTTCCCGTCCTGCGTCTGCACTCTAACAGAGGTGGTGAGTTTTCCTCCGACCTCTTGGCGGCCTACTGTGCGGAGCACGGCATCACCCAGTCGTTCACGCTTCCGGCCTCTCCGCAGCAGAATGGGGTTGCTGAGCGCCGCATTGGCTTGGTCATGGAGGTCGCTCGTACCTCCATGGTCCATGCGGCTGCCCCCCATTTTCTGTGGCCGTTTGCGGTCCGGTACGCCGCGCATCAGCTCAACCTCTGGCCCCGTGTCTCCTTGCCGGAGACCTCGCCCACACTGCTGTGGACGGGGGAGGTTGGCGATGCGTCGCGTTTCCGGGTCTGGGGTTCTCGTGCCTTTGTCCGCGATACCACCGCGGACAAGCTCTCCGCCCGCGCTGTCCCCTGTGTCTTCCTTGGCTTTGTCCCTGACGCGCCTGGTTGGCAGTTTTACCACCCCACCTCGCGCCGTGTCTTTGCGTCTCAGGACGTCACGTTCGACGAGTCGGTTCCCTTTTACCGTCTCTTCCCCTACCGCACTGCCCCGCTCCCCCCCCCGCCGCTCTTCCTCGCTCCAGGTGCTATCCAGGTAGACCCCCTCCCCGCTCCCGGTCCTGCTCCTTCAGGTGTGTCTCAGGTAGACCCTCCTCCTTTGCCTCCGCCGGTTGAGGTCACTGGTGACTCAGGTCCTGCTTGGGGTGCTGCTTCTGGGGGTGCTGAGCCTGGGGACGTTGAGCCTGGGGGTGCGGAGCCTGGGGGTGCGGAGCCTGGGGGTGCGGAGCCTGGGTGTGCAGAGTCTGGAGGTGCTGAGCCTGGAGGTTCTGAGTCTGGGAGAGCTGCGCCTGGGGGCACTGTGGGGTCTGGTGAGAGGTCCCCCTGGAGCGGCCGTCTCCGCAGTCGCTCCGCTGGTGCTTCGCCGCTGCACCCTAGTCGTCGACCCCCTCTCTCCCCACAGCAGCTGCGTGAGTGGTACGCTGCTCGTCAGGGTCGCGCTGCTAGAGCTAGGGGCCCTACTGCGGGAGGCGCTGGCGCTGGTGCCTCTACTACTGGAGTCGTTTCTACTGGAGGTTCTGGAGCTACTGAGGGTGCTGGCGCTGGAGGTTCTGGAGCTGGTGCTGGTGCTGGAGGTTCTGGAGCTGGTGCTGGTGCTGGAGCTGCTGCGGGTGCTGGCGCTGAGGGTTCTGAGTCTGCTGCTGTGCGGTCTCCGTGGAGTGGCCGCCTTCGTCCGCGTGTGCCTCTCACCTCACAGCAGCTGCACGACTGGTACGGTCGCCGTCAGGGTCGCGCTGCTGGAGCCCGGGGCTCTGCTGCTGGAGGTACTTCTGCTGACGTCCCTGGAGCTGGGCGTGGTGCTGGTCCTTTGTCTACTGGAGGTGCTGGAGTCGCTGGTCCCGGAGGTGCTCGTACTGGAGGTACTGGAGCTGCTGGGGCTGGAGGTGCTGGTTCTGGGGGTGCTGCTGCTGGAGACGTGGAGGCTGGAGACCCTGGGACTGGAGGTGCTGGTTCTGGGGGTGCTGCTGCTGGAGGCACTGGGGTTGGAGACCCTGGGCCTGGAGGTGTCGGTTCTGGGGCTGGAGCTTCTGGAGCTGCTGGAGGTGCTGGAGCTGCTGGAGGTACTGGAGCTGCTGGAGCTGCCGGTACTGGTGCAGCTGCGCCGACACGACTGTTCTTCGCTCCGCCGTCTCCGTCGTCTCTGCCGCCGCCTGACTCTGTTCTTCGTCAGGTTCTTACTCTCTCGTCGTCTACTGGTCTTCCGTTACAGCCTGGCTCACCACTGCCTGCTCCTTCTCCTTACACTGAGCAGCCAGGTAGTCTTGCTGAGCGTCGTGAGCCTGCGTCGCGTCCTGTCTCGCCTGTTCGTCCTAGTCGTACCGGTCGTCGTGTTCCTCGTCCGCGTCAGCCGGCTGTCCCCGGCACACGCCTTGTAGCCCTGCGTCGGTCCCCTACTCCGGAGCGTACTCCTCTTCCGTCTCCCCCTGCGTCCTCTTTGCCTGACGTCGCGGACCCTGAGTCTGACCGGTTTCGTGCTGAGCACCATACTGTCACGCGTCTGCTAGCCACTGTTGTCATTGACCCGTCGTTTGAGTCTGCTGCTGCGTCTGCCCTGGTCGCTGAGCTTGTTGACTTTGCTGCTGCCTGTCGTCTAGACTACGCTGCTAGTCTTGTTGCTGAGTCTGAGTCTGTCTGTCCTCCGTCCGTCGGGGGTGAGTGTGCTCTTGGCACGGACGTCCTTGAGGACAGACAGGAGGACCTTGCGTGTCTTGCGGCTGCTGCGCCTCATCTCGTGGCCATGCTGCTTGCCCCTGAGGGAGACCCGGATGCTATAGACATCCCCACACCGCGCTCTTACGCTGAGGCGATCGCGGGTCCTTACTCCTCTCAGTGGCAGGCAGCCATGGACGCAGAGATGGCATCCTGGAAATCCACAGGCACTTACGTCGATGAGGTTCCCCCTCCCGGGGCGAACATCGTCGATGGCATGTGGATTTTCAGGGTGAAGCGGCCGCCAGGTTCTCCGCCTGTCTTCAAGGCGCGTTACGTTGCTTGAGGCTTCAGTCAGCGAGAGGGAGTTGACTTCTTCCAGACCTTCTCCCCTACCCCGAAGATGACTACTCTTCGGGTGTTGCTGCACGTTGCCGCTCAGCGTGACTACGAGCTTCACTCCCTTGACTTCAGCACAGCTTTCCTACAGGGCAGCCTGCACGAGGAGATCTGGCTGCGCCGCCCACCTGGCTTCACTGGGTCGTTCCCTCCTGGTACCCAGTGGAGCCTCCGGCGGCCAGTCTACGGTCTCCGCCAGGCACCCCGTGAGTGGCACGACACACTGAGGACTACCCTTGCGGCTCTTGGGTTTGCGCCTTCGACTGCTGACCCTTCACTGTTTCTGCGCACCGACACTTCGCTGCCGCCGTTCTATATCCCCGTGTATGTCGACGACCTGGTCTTTCCTACTGCTGACACTGAGGCCCTCGCCCTGGTGAAGTCCGAGCTGCAGAAGAGACACACGTGCACAGACCTGGGTGAGCTGCGCAGCTACCTTGGCTTGCAGATCACCCGGGACCGAGCACGCCGCACCATCACACTGACTCAGTCACACATGGTGCAGCAGGTCCTTCAGCGCTTCGGCTTCACCTGGTCCTCAGCACAGGCCACTCCTCTGGCTATAGGTCACTCGCTCTCAGCTCTGCCTTCGGATGAGTCCGTAGAGCCGAGTGGTCCTTACCCAGAGCTAGTGGGCTGCCTCATGTACCTGATGACTTGCACTCGTCCTGACCTTGCGTACCCTCTTGGCCTTCTGGCTTGCTACGTGGCTCCTGGTCGGCACCGAAAGGTGCACTGGGATGCTGCGAAGAGGGTACTGCGCTACTTGTGCAGTACATCGGGCATGGGGCTCGTGCTTGGAGGACGGCGAGAGGTGGTCCTCACTGGGCACTCAGACGCTTCTTGGGTTGACGACTTGGCTACGCAGCGGTCGTCACAGGGTTACACTTTCAGCCTTGGCTCTGGTTCTGTTTCTTGGCGTTCTACTCGCTCGTCTTCTGTTCTCAACTCCAGTTGTGAGGCTGAGATCTACGCCACCGCCATGGCTGCTCAGGAGTTACGCTGGCTCACCTACCTGCTGACTGACCTGGGAGAGCGGCCTCGTTCTCCTCCAGTGCTGTACGTCGACAACAAGGCTGCCATTGCCTTGTGTGAGGAGCACAGACTAGAGCACAGAACGAAGCACATCGCTCTGCGGTACTTTCTGGCTCGAGAGTTGCAGCAGCGTGGTCAGCTTCGTCTTGCACATGTGGCCACTCGGGCCAACACTGCTGATATATTCACCAAGGCACTTCCGTCTGGTGATCATCAGCGCTTTTGTACTTTGTTAGGCCTTGTGCCTACATTTCCACACTTGCTGTAGTCTTTTGTGTGTACTGTGCTCTATATTTATACCTGCATGCTTGCTCTTGCTAGGTATTGATCACTGTACTGCTCTTATTGTTTATATATATCTCTGCATGTGGACTGGCCTTGCGGCCCTTTGCTTGTGCTCAGAATGTGTGGTGACGTTGAGATCCACCCTGAGCTTGCTTTGCGTCTCTTGACTGGTCGTGTGACCCCTTGTTCTCCCCCACTTTGCCTATGGGGGTGTGTCAAACATATATGCAGCATATTGTCTAGGCTGTAGTGGGGTAGCCCATATGGGGTACAACCCAATTTGTACTCATGCGTGCTGTTGGTTCATCCTTCCTGCCTGTGATTCTAACAGTGTCCAGTGGGGACAATGTCACCCCGTCCTCCAAGCACCAGCCCCATGCCCGATGTACTGCACAAGTAGTGCAACACCCTCTTAGCAGCCACCCAGTGCTCTCGCCAGTGTCTCCCAGGCGCAACGTAGCGAGCCATGATGCTAAGAGGGTACGCAAGGTCAGGACAAGTGCAAGTCATCAGGTACATGAGGCAGCCCACAAGCTCTGAGTATGGGCCACTCGGCTCTACGGACTCGTCCGAAGGTGGAGTTGAGAGCGAGTGACCGGTAGGCAGAGGAGTGGACTGTGGTGAGGAGAACTGGAAGCCGAAGCGCAGAAGGACCTGCTGCACCATGTGTGACTGAGTCAGGGTGATGGTGCGACGTGCTCTGTCCCGGGTGATCTGCAAGCCGAGGTAGCTGCGCAGCTCACCCAGGTCTGTGCACGTGTGTCTCTTCTACAGCTCCGACTTCACAAGGGCGAGTGCCTCAATATCAGCAGTGGCAAATACCAAGTCGTCGACGTACACGAGGATGTAGAACGGCGGCAGCAAAGTGTCGGTGCGCAGAAACAACGACGGGTCAGCAGTGGAAGGAGCAAACCCAAGAGCCGCAAGTGTCGTCCTCAGTGTGTCGTGCCACTCACGAGGCGCCTGGCGGAGACTGTAGACTGGCCGCCGGAGGCTCCACTGGGTACCAAGAGGGAACGACCCAGTGAAGCTAGGTGGGCGGCGCAGCCAGATCTCCTCGTGCAGACTGCCCTGTAAGAACGCTGTGCTAAAGTTACGAGAGTGAAGCTCGTAGTCACGCTGAGTGGCAACGTGCAGCAGCACCCGAAGAGTGGTCATCTTTGGGGTAGGGGAGAAGGTCTGGAAGAAGTCAACTCTCTGTCGCTGACTGAAGCCTCGTGCAACGTAACGAGCCTTGAAGACAGGCGGAGAACCCGGCGGCCTCTTCACCCTGAAAATCCACATGCCATTGACTATGTTCGCCCCAGGAGGGGGAACCTCATCGACATAGGTGCCTGTGGACTTCCAAGATGCCATCTCTGCGTCCATGGCTGTCTGCCACTGAGAGGAGTAGGGACCCGAAATCGCCTCTGCGTAAGAGCGCGGGGTTGGGATGTCCAGTGCATCCGGGTCTCCCTCAGGCGCAAGCAGCCAGGCCACGAGATGAGGTACAGCAACCGCAAGACACTCAAAGTCCTCCTGCTTGTCCTCAAGGACGTCCGTGCCAATAGCACACCCACCCTCGACGGATGGAGGACAGACAAACTCAGACTCAGCAACAAGACTGGCGGCGTAGTCTAGACGACACGCAGCAGCAAAGTCCACAAGCTCAGCAACTAAGGCAGACGCAGCAGTAGACTCAAACGACGGGTCATGGTGGAACAGAGGAAGGACGAAGTGCGATCGCGTGAGAACCTGGCACAGGAGGAGGACGCGGACGCGGGACACGACGAGCATGACGAACAGGGGAGGCGGGACGAGACACATGCTCACGACGCTCTGTAAGGGAGACCGGCTGCTCAGTGTAACGGGATGGGGCAGGCAGCGGCGAGTCCGGAGGAAGGGCAGTGGACGAAGGAAGACTAAGAACCTGACGGAGCACCGACTCGGGCGGAAGCTCGGACAGCTGCGGCGGCGGCAAGAAAAACGGTCGCTGCTGCACAGGGCCTCCAGCTCCAGCGCCTCCAGCGCCAGCACCTCCAGCTCCAGTAGCTCCAGTGCTAGTGCCTCCAGCTCTAGCGCCTCCAGCTCTAGTGCCTCCAGCTCCAGTGCCTCCAGCTCCAGTACCTCCAGCGCCAGTGCCTCTAGCTCCAGCGCCTCCAGCTCCAGTGCCTCCAGCTCCAGCACCTCCAGCGCCAGCGCCTCTAGCTCCAGTGCCTCCAGCTCCAGCACCTCCAGCGTCAGGACCTCCAGCTCCAGCGCCTCCAGCGCCAGCGCCTCCAGCTCCAGTGCCTCCAGCTCCAGCACCTCCAGCTCCCGTACCTCCAGCTCCAGCGCCTCCAGCACCATGACCTCCAGCTCCAGCACCTACAGCTCCAGCACCTTCAGCTCCAGCGCCTCCAGCTCCAGCACCTCCAGCTCCAGTGCCTCCAGTTCTTGCGCGACTCCGACGTCGCGTGCGCCGGGCAAGCCACTCGCGCAACTGCTGTGGTGAGAGGGGCTCACGCTGCTGCACAGGGCCTCCAGCTCCAGCGTCTCTAGCGCCAGCACCTCCAGCTCCAGTAGCTCCAACGTCAGTGCCTCCAACTCCAGTGCCTCCAGCTCCAGTGTCTCCAGCGTCAGGACCTCCAGCTTTAGTACCTCCAGTGCCAGTACCTACAACTCTAGCGCCTCCAGCTCCAACGCCTCCAGCTCCAGTGCCTCCAGCTCCAGCACCTCCAGTGCTAGTGCGACTCCGAAGGAGGGTGTGCCGGGCAAGCCACTCGCGCAGCTGCTGTGGTGAGAGGGGCTCACGCTGGGGAGACCGCTGCGGCGAGGCTCCCGGAAGACCACCAGCAGAAGCAGCACCACCCGGCTCAGCACCCCCAGAAGCAGTACCCCCAGGCTCAGCACCCCTAGGCTCAGTATGCTCAGGCGCAGCACCCCCAGTCTCAGCACCCCCAGGCTCAGCACCCCCAAGCTCCGCACCCCCAGGCTCAGCACCCCCAGGCTCCGCATGCTCAGGCTCAGCACCCCCAGGCTCCGCACCCACAGGCTCAGCACCCCCAGACGTAGCACCTCGAGCAGGACCACCCCCAGCAGCACCTGAGTCACCAGTGACCTCGACAGGCTCAGCCAAGGGAAGTGGGTCTACCTGAGAGACACCTGAAGGAGCAGGACCCTGAGGGGGGAGGGGGTCTACCGGAGGGGGACCTGGAGCAAGGAAGAGCGGCGGGGGGGGGAGTGGGGCAGTGCGGTAGGGGAAGAGTCGGTAAAAGGGAACCGACTCGTCAAACGTGACGTCCTCAAAGGGGAAGACACGGCACGAGGTGGGGTGGTAAAACTGCCAACCAGGCGCATCAGGGGGAAAGCCAAGGAAGACGCAGGGAATGGCGCGAGAGGAGAGCTTGTCCGCGGTGGTATTGCGGACAAAGGCACGAGAGCCCCAGACCCGGAACCGCGACGCATCGCCAACCTCCCCCGTCCAACGCAGTGTGGGCGAGGTCTCCGGTAAGGAGACACGGGGCTAGAGGTTGAGCTGATGCGCAGCGTACCGGACCACAAACGGCCACAGAAAATGGGGAGCGGCCGCATGGATCATGGAGGTACGGGCCACCTCCATGACTAAGCCAATGCGGCGCTCAGCAACCCCATTCTGCTGCGGTGAGGCCGGAAGCGTGAACAACTGGAGGATGCCCTCCCCCTGACAAAAGTCCCGCAAGAGGTCGGAGGAGAACTCACCACCTCTGCGGAGCTGGAGGGACCTCACCCTCATCAAAACAGCAGGGACCTCACCCTTGCTGCGCAAGGGGAAGACCGTGGTGTAACGCGAGTAGTCGTCGACAACCAGCAGAAAGTACCGCTCGCGGCCCTGTCCAGTGACATGGACTGGGCCCCACACGTCCATGTGGAGAGTCTGCAGGGGAGCAGTCGTCGGGGGAAACGAGGAGGAGTGAGGAGCGGCGCGCTGCCGCCCCTCGACGCAAGGAACGCAGGGCGGGGCAGGCGAGGGTGGGAGGGAAGGAAGAGACCTGGGAAGACCAGTGACAAGGAGGCGGGAGTGCATGCCACGAAGGCGTGGCAGGGAGGGGTGACCAAGGTGGTGGTGCCAAAGGAGAGTCTGGTGCGACAAGTGACGACACTCGCAGGGGGGAGCTACCTGACCTGACGTGGCCATTTGACCAGACGCAGCAACCTGAGGAGGCTCAGTAGTCAGTGTGTACAGACTCGACCCAGGCCGACGGGTGAACGTGGCCAGGTGGCGGCCCGTCCGGGAGCACGTGCAGATCGCCACACGCTGGCCTCCAGGGGTAAAGGTATCAACCCATTGCCGCGGTACTCACTAAATTTGTCGAGAACGAGGGGAGGTGGAGACCAGACAGCGAGCCGGATGGAACCGCCGAGCACGGGAGCACAGTGGAGGAACGTGCAAGAACCAGCCAGAGGGGTCAGCCAGGGAGACCGCAACCGGTCTAGGGAGTGGTGTAAGTGTGGTACTATCGCAAAAGAAACAGCGGGAAGCACCTGAGTCAAGCGTGAAGGTGTGCAAGGCCTCAGCAGGCGCAGTATCAGAGAGAGCAGACTCACTAGCACCTAGAGCAGCAGCCTCTATACCTGGGTCGGGCGGCACACACATATAGCAATCACCCTCAATACCAACAGTCAAAGCATCCATGGCAGTAAGGATAGCATCATAGTCTAGAGAAAAAATATCCACACTGTGCCGAAGCAGCTCTAACCAGTGGGGGAGCTCAGCCTCTTCACCAAACTCTGTACGCCAGGCGTCGCTCAGACAGGAGAAGCAGCGGGACTGTGTGTGGCCATGTGTCCCGCAAGTCTGACCAGCCAGATCACCTGTGCGAATGACGTACGGGCAGCGAGCACTACTCCGAGACGTCCCACGCTGAAAACGCCACTCACGAAGCTGCTGAGGCATAAGGGTCTCGCGCGAACGCCGCTGCAGCTGCATCTGGTCACCGCCAGAAACTCTCCACTGAACAGCTCCACCGCGACTGCCACTACGGCCGCCGCCACCACTCCCACTGCTGCCACCACCGCCGCCACCACTCCATTGCTACCAGGAAGAAAAGTCATAGCGAGCAAAGTAAGGAGGCGTGCGACCAAAGTAGGGCGGGTCGGCGCACGGTCAGGGAAGTGCGGCGCGCGGCCAAAGTAGGGGGGCGCGCTGCAAGTAGGGCAGCGTGCGGGCTGGGGAGGGCGCGCGGGCTGCAGAGGGCGGCGCGCGGGCTGTAAGGGCGGCGCACAGGATTCCAGGGGCGGTGCGCGGGCTGCAAGGGTGTGCGCGGGCAGGGCAGGGCGCGCGCAGGCGGCGCGTCGGGCAGGGCAGGGCGTACGCTCGCTGCGCGACGCGGGGCAGGGCGTGTGCGGGCGGTGCGCGGGCAGGGCAGGGCACGCGCAGGCCGCGCGACGGGCAGGGCAGGGCGTACGCGCGCTGCGTGACGCAGGCAGGGCGCGCGCGGGCGGCGCGACGCAGGGCAGGGCAGGGTGTTGCGCGCGGGCAGGGCAGGGTCGGGCACGCGGGCAGGGCAGGGCGTTGCGCGCAGGCAGTGCAGGGCCGGGCGCGCGTGGGTAGGGCAGGGCGTGCGCGGGGCTGCGCGACGCAAGGGAATGCGGGCGCGGGCAGCGCGACACGGGGCAGGGCGTGCGCGTGCCCCGCGTCTGGTAGGGCAACGGGTGGGGCAGCGCTTTGGGCAGGAAAGATCAGGTGGGCCCTAACGAAGACGGTCCTGGAACAGGACCTGCTCTGATACCATGTCAGAATCTAGCAGGAAGAATAAGTGCAATAGGCAGGAATGAGGTACAAATATGGCAAACCCTAATTGGGTTGTACCCCTTATGGGCTACCCCACTATAGCCTACATATTTTGACATCCCGTACTTGCACGTACTCGTTATCAACTATTATAATAAGAAATCTATATGAAAAGGGGGGTGTTATGGAAAATCACCCCAAAAGGGGGGTATAGTAGAAACGAGGTCGATTATAACACCCACCCCGCACAAGCTACCCGGGGGTGTACAATTACGGGGGGGTGTTTTATCCGGGAAAATACGGTATTTGACGGCACAGTGTGTCAAACATTATACATGTTGTATTTGTGTAGGCTGTAGTGGGTTAGCCTATAGGGGGGTCACAACATTAGGGTTTCATATTTGTACTCACAATCCTTGCTAGTTCCATCATTCCAGTCCGTTCTCGTTGACATGGTTTCAGAGCAGGTCCTTCGCTAGGACCGTTTTTTTTTAAGGGCCCACCGTTCCCTACCTACCTACCTACCTACCTAGGGCGCCTCGAATTTTTTTTTTAACGGCCCCTACATCCCGCGACCCGCGACCCGCCCCTTAAGGCCCCGTCGCGCCGCCCCTTAGCCGCTCGCGCGCGGTCGTTTTCATACGTGCGCCCCGCCTGCTGCCCGCGCGCGCCTTATTTCCCTCGCGCGCGGCCCGTCGCCTGCTCGTGCACGCCCCGCAGCCGCCCGTCGCCTGCTCGCGCACGCCCCGCAGCCGCCCGTCGCCTGCTAGCGCACGCCCCGCAGCCGCTCGTAGCCTGCTCGCGCACGCCCCGCAGCCGCCCGTCGCCTGCTCGCGCACGCCCCGCAGGCCCGCAGCCCGCCGTCGCAGCGGCCGCCCGCCCGCAGCCGCCCGTCGCCTGCTCGCGCACGCCCCGCAGCCGCCCGTCGCCTGCTCGCGCACGCCCCGCTGCCCGCAGCCGCTCGTACGCCGCTGCTTCCGCTGCTGCTTGCGCACCGCTGCCTCCCGAGCGCCGCCGCTGCCTGTGCGCCGCCGCTGCCCGTGCGCCGTCGCTGCCCCTACGCTGCCGCTGCCCGTGCGCTGCCGCTGCCCGTGCGCCGCTGCCGCCCGTGCGCTTCTGCAGCCGCCGCCCGCGAGGCACTCGCTCTCACTGTTGTTTATTTTCTACCTACCGCGCACACTGCTGCCACTGCAGCTGCCACCAGTGCGCCGTTGCAGCTCCTGCTGCCACGCTACCTACTACTGCCGCTCGTGTGCCACTACGGACAGTCGACCCCGCCCGCGCCTTGCCTAGCGGCCCCGCCGGCCCCGTTGACCCTCCGCACACCTTTCCAGCGGCCTGATTCCTACTACTACTGTTACTACTGCTACTACTGCTACTGCTACTGTCACTATGGCTAGTCCTCCAGTTCTAGCTTTCGATGCCGAGGGCCGTCCAGTGAAGTTCGAAACCTGGCTAGATGACCTGCACCTGTTCCTACAGCTCACTGCCAAGGAAGATATCTCACTGTACGACCACGCCCTAGGCCATGCCACTGCCCCTGACTCGTCTGCTGACAGCACTCTGCGTTCCCAGTGGCTGACCCGTGATGCGCACGCTCGCTTTGCTATTCGCAACTCCCTGCCGCTAGACGAGCGCGAGCACTTCGGCCAGTGCAAGACTGCTAAGGACCTCTACACCGCTGTAGTTGCCCGCTACTCCTCACCCGCTTCTGCCACGCTAGGCCGCCTCACTCTCCCCTACCTGTTCCCCGACCTAGCCTCCTTTCACACTGTCGCAGACCTCATCACCCACCTTAAGACTAGTGAGGCCCGCTTTCGCGCTGCTATGCCTGCCGAGTTTCTCACTAGCAACCCCCCCCCGCTCTGGATCACTCTCTACCACATCGTCACCCGCCTCCCTGACTCTCTGCGCGCAGTCAGGGACCACTTCCTCTCTCGCTCCCCCACTGAGCTCACTGTTGCCCTCCTCGAGAAGGAACTGCTTGCAGCTGAGGCGAGCATCGTCGCTGTAGGCACCTCTCGTGGCGACCCCCGCACCCCGTTCTTTGAGGGGTGTTCCCCTTCCCCCCTCCTCCCCTCTGTCGCCTCTGCTGCTGCTGTCGACCTTCTTGGTGCTGAGAAGGTCGGGACCGCGTCTGCTTCGAGCGGGCGCCGCAGGAACAAGGGGGGCAGGGGTGGGGGTGGCGGCGGAGGAGGTGGGGGTGGAGGCGGTGGGAGTGGAGGCGCGGCTGGGGAGACTAGTGGCGGCAGTGGGGGAGGAGACAGCAGCGGTGGGAGTGGTGGCGGAGGCGGCAGCGGAGGCGGAGGTGGTCGTGGCGGCGGCAGGGGTGGAGGTGGTGGTCGTGGAGGCACTGGCGGAGGGCAGAGTCAGCAGCCCGCCCCGACGCTTCAGGCCGCTCGTGAGTGGTATGCGCAGCGTGGCTTTACCTGCACGTACGTCATTCGCACAGGTGACCGCAGCGGCCAGCAGTGTGGGAGGCCGCACCCCACGCAGCGCTGCTTCGCGCGCCTTACCGACGCGTGGCGCACTCAGTTTCCTGCTGCCACTGAGCTGCCGCGCTGGGCTGATCTGGAAAAGAGGGGTGTTGATATTTGGGCTTTAGACTTTGATGCTATTCTCACTGCCATGTATGCGATGTCTATTAGTGGAGAGGGTGCTCAGTACTTGCGTGTTCCGCCCGACCTGGGCATTCAGGCCAGTCCGGCTGCCGCTCTAGGTGCTAGTGCGTCTGCTCCCACAGGTCCTGGTGAGGCTGCAGCCCTAGGTGCTAGTGCGTCCGTGCCCCCTGGTACTGAGTCGACTGCAGCACTGCACACCTTCACACTGGACTCAGGTGCTTCTCGCTCCTTCTTTCGTGACCGCACTGTCCTTGAGCCACTCGCTCGGCCAGTTGCTGTCTCCCTTGCTGACCCCTCTGGGGGTCCGGTCATTGCGACCTCCTCCACTGTCCTTCCTTGTCCGGCGGTCCCGTCCGGCACGCTGTCAGGTCTCTACCTCCCCTCGTTCTCTACGAACTTGGTGGCAGGTAGTGCGCTCCAGGACGGGGGTGTTCACTAGTTCACCCCTGCCTACGAGCACGTGACACACTGCACGTGTGCTCGGACGGGTCGCCACCTGGCTACCTTCACTCGGGAGCCGGGGTCGGACCTTTACACACTGACCACTGAGTCCCCTCAGGTAGCTGCGTCCGCGTCTGCGTCTGCGTCAGGTCAGCTGTCCGCCCCCTGCTCGTGTCGCTCTCTGGCGCATGAGACTGTCCTTTGGCATCACCGCCTTGGTCACCCGTCTGTGCAGCGCCTTCGGGCCATGCACAAACGGGACCTTGTTGCTGGTCTTCCCAGGGTACTCCCTCCCCTTCCAGACTCGCCTGCTCCTCCCTGTATTCCCTGTGTCGAGGGGCGGCAGCGCGCCGCTCCTCACTCCTCCTCCTTTCCCCCGACGACTGCTCCTTTGCAGACGCTCCACTTGGACGTGTGGGGCCCAGCCCGCGTCCGTGGCCAGGGTCAGGAGAGGTACTTCCTGATTGTTGTTGACGACTTCTCGCGCTTCACCACGGTCTTCCCCTTGCGCGCCAAGGGTGACGTCCCTGATGTATTGATCCCCTGGATCCGCAGATCTCGTCTCCAGCTCAGTGAGCGTTTCCGCTCCGACTTCCCTGTCCTGCGTCTGCACTCTGACAGAGGTGGGGAGTTTACCTCTGGCCTCTTGGAGGCCTTCTATCAGCAGGAGGGCATTGAGCAGTCGTACACGCTTCCGGCCTCTCCACAGCAGAATGGGGTTGCTGAGCGCCGCATTGGTCTGGTCATGGAGGTCGCTCGTACCTCCTTGAGCCATGCGGCTGCCCCCCACTTTCTGTGGCCGTTTGCAGTCCGATACGCTGCGCATCAGCTCAACCTCTGGCCCCGTGTCTCCTTGCCCGAGACTTCTCCGACACTGCGTTGGACGGGAGAGGCTGGCGATGCGTCGCGTTTTCGGGTCTGGGGATCCCGAGCTTTTGTCCGCGACACGTCCGCGGACAAGCTCTCCCGTCGCGCTGTCCCCTGCGTCTTCCTTGGCTTTGTCCCGGACGCCCCTGGCTGGCAGTTCTACCACCCCACCTCGCGTCGTGTCCTGGCCTCTCAGGACGTCACTTTTGACGAGTCCGTCCCCTACTACCGCCTCTTCCCCTACCGCACTGCCCCGCTCCCCCCCCCACCTCTCTTCCTCGCTCCAGGTGCTGAGGTACCAGACCCCCTCCCCCCTCAGGGTGCCGCTCCCTTAGGTGTGTCCCAGGTAGACCCGGGTGAGCCTGTCGAGGTAGCTGTTGACTCTCGTCCTG